TATATATTCATATATCTATCACATAAGGCAAACAATCATCATCCGTAATCATCCGTATATGTATATGCTGATAGTGCTAGATCTAAAGACTGCATAGGAAGAAAACTCATAAACACGCCCATATCAAACGCCTATATAACGTGTCCATTTTTACACACCACGGTGGCTAGCGTTTTTTGGACAGTTTCTTAACAGGTCCTTAAAATATTCATGAGCAATTTCTTGTACGTCATATGATATATATATATAATTATATATATATATATATATATATATATATATATATATATCCGTAACGGCCGTAGCAATGGAAAATCCAAAATGGCCGCCTTGCGATTTTTTCACATAATTTTTATCTGCCCCACTACGAATAGCGGATATAGCCGCGAGATGAAACGGCCGCAGCGCGATGTTGAGTGAAGCTTCATACGATTTCAGACTTCAGAAATATTTACTTACAACGATCTGCAACGAACCGCAAATGTAAAAGGATAAACAGACAACAGAGCAGAGGGACAGACACATAAAAAGAAAAAACAGCTGAACGTCCAACGCACTGGCGCCCGCAGAAAGAAGCACTGGAAGCACAGTGCTTCCAGTAAATTTTGGGTTAAACAATTTTGTTCCTACATTTTGTTCCTAACTCTCCTAAAGATTCCAGACGTCTACCATTCAATTTTTTTTAGGCGGGGGCATGCCCCAGACGTCCCCTAGCATGCAGCGCGCCTACGGCGCTTGCTTTTTATTATCACTGAGAGTTTTATCATTCTGTGCTTCTACTTTCTTAAGACCTGTGGGCGCCAGTAGTCCAACGGATAGTTGTTTACCGTTATGCACTTTTACCGTTACTGTTACCTTTTACCGTTACCGTTTACCTTAACCTTACCGTTACCACTTCCAGGTTTTCTTTAACTGTGACACGAGCGTGTTTTTTGCGTGTGATTGCAGGACGCTGGCACACAACGAGATACGAGTCGTCGAAGGAAACGCTTTCCGCTATCTGCATAATCTCGTCGAACTGTAAGTGTCGTCATCAAGCGTTGTCATGTATTTAGTGGTTATGCGCGTCTACGCTTATGCACGTCTAGTTTATACACACACGCTTACACACACACACACACACACACACACACACACACACACACACACACACACACACACACACACACACACACGCATGCAAACACAAACACAAACACATGCACGCGCGTGCACACTCGCATGCAGATCACACATATAATACAACACAGGCGCGCGCGACGCATGCAGACATACACACAAACACAGACACAGGCGCACGCACGGCATGCAGACTAGCACAGGGAACAACAGACACGAGGCGCACGCACGTCATGCAGACATACAACAAACACAGACACAGGCGGCACGCACGCATGCAGACATACACACAAACACAGACACAGGCGGCACGCACGCAAGCAGACGATACACACAAACACAGACTCGGCACACACACGGCATGGCAGACCATCACACACAAACACAGTCACGACAGGCGCACGGCACGCATGCAGACATACACAAAACACAGACACTACGCACGCAACGCAGTGCAGATCATTACACACATAACACAAACACAGCAGGCGCACGCACGCTGCAGACTCTACACACAAAACACAAGACACCGAGGCGCACGCACGCATGCAGACATACACACAAACACAGACACGGCACAGGCGGACGCACGTGTGCGGACGCATGCAGACACACAGCACACACACACACACATCACACACCACAGGGTCATGTCACATCACACGTTCCACACAGCACACAACACACAACACACAGCCGCACGCACGCATGCAGACATACTACACAAACACAATGACACAGGCGCACGGCACGGCGATTGCAGACATAACACCGCGCAACAAACACAGACACAGGCGCCCGGCACGCCATGCAGACATACCAACCAAACAACAGATCACAAGGCGCACGCACGCATGGCATGCAGACATACAACACACACAAACACACACACAACTACACCACATGCACACAGCCAGCACCAACACCACACACAGCGCGCGCGCGCGGGCGCGCGTACGCACTGCACAACACACACAACGATGAGACTGCAACCACATACACATCACACACACACAGACACACCGCCACAACACACACACCACTACACAAACCACGACGCACGCACGCATGCAGACATACACACAACAGCACGACACAGGCGCACGCAACGCATGGCCAGACAGTACACCACAACACAGGACACAGGCGCACGACGCACAGCGATGCATGCGAGGTACATAGCAGACGCCACACAACAACGCACACACACACCACGACCACACAACCACACACAACAGGGCAACACATTACACACCCAGACACACATCAACACCCACACAACACACACAAACACACACCACGGCACGCACGCATGCAGCATACACACACAACACAGACACAGGGGGCCAACGCACGCAGATGCAGACATACACACAAACACAGACACAGGCGCACGCACCGCATGTCAGACATACAACACAAACCACAGACACAGTGCAGCACGCACGCATGGCAAGACATACACACAAACATCAGACACAGGCGCACGCACGCATGCAGACATGACACATACAAACACAGACACAGGCGGCACCGCACGCATGCGACATACACACAAACACGACAGCAGGCGACGCACGCATGCAGACATAACAGCACAAACAGCAGCCACACGGCTGCACGGCACGCATGGCAGACATGAACACAAACACAGGAGCACAAGCGACGCACGAGCATGCAGACATACACACAAACATCCAGACATCAGGCGCACGCACGCTTCATGGGCATCGCAGACATACACACACCACAACACATCACACACAGACCACGTACGGCACGCACA